TATGTATAATTAACGGTATTTACCTAACGTAAAAACTTACGAAGACGTAAATTTCCGAGTATACACTCAGTGTTGCCTGAACGCACCTCATGAAATATTTGAGTAGGTACAGAATTTTAATCGAGCAGAGCTTATCAATAAGATATTTTCAACGGTTAATATCATTTAACTTTTAAGTTAGATAACATCTTTTTGCACTGTGGATGTCAATCGAAAGGGGTTCAAAATCCTTTTCTTTCAAAAAAACATATTTAAGATTGAAACCTTCTCCATAGGTAAAATCAATTAAATTAAGAAGAAAATATTTTTGTACATATTGTACACACTCAGAAAAAAGTCAGCCAAATATATTTCTCTCAACACATGATTTGGTAACTATCACCAAACTATGTGACTATAACTAAGTTATGTGTTGAGAAAAACATATTTAGTTGACGTAACTAAACTCTTTTCTCAGTGCATATTCCCATAACTCTAGAGAGGCTTCTTAAACCCTTATTTCTAAAATATTGCTAATGAGGGTTGCCACCTGTTAATAAATTCAAAATTAATTTCATTATCAAGTTAAATGCAATATTTTAATATACACAGGTATGAAACGAGAGGGAATCAAGAAAGCTTTATTTTTCATTAATAAATTCAAGGAAATATTTTAATATGGGTATCGAACGAGGCAGGTGTAAGAAAGCTTTAATTCTAAAATATTTTTAAAGAGTATTCGAAATCAATTTAATTAAGAAGTTATATCAAATATTTTAATGTGGACATCAAATGAGAGAGATTTAAGGAAGTTTTTTTCATAAAATATTTGTGCTTAAAAATTCAAAATAAATTTAAATAACAAGTTAATTATGAAAATTTATTGTGGCAAACGATAATTTACAAGGCGTACTTAGCACGGTGCATAGGCAACTGGCTGAGTCAGTGGGATCGTCGGTTCGAAGCCTACTGAAAGAAGTCTGATGAGGAAATGTGGTGATTTCCGAAATAGCTATCACTTCTACCATTTTTTTAAATTATTGTTGCTTTTCCACAATAAATTTTCATTAAAAAACGGCCTCGAGCTCAATAAAAATTGTTGAATAAAAAAATATTTCTAAAAAAAATATCTAGGAAGTTAACGAAATACCGATGGAGGACAAATTAAATATATGCGATTTTGTTAGAAACAAACAAAATATGGTTTTTTCAGTGTATCTACATTAGGGTGGTACAAAAAAAGTTAAGTCGGAATTTTAATGCTCTCATCTCCTAAGATTTTTCTGTACCGAAAAATATACCTATATTTTTTTAATTTGAAGTCAAAAATTATTTAGAGGTCGCTCAAAGCGCTCAAAGCTTTCCATATATTTTATATGGGGAAAAAACAAATTTTCCTAGAATGGTATATAATTTTTGAAAACCAATATTTTTCGATCGGAAACTCCTGTTTCCCATAAAAACCGTTAGTATTAAAAAATGGCATAATAAACAATTGGGTATTATTATTGGGTAAAACGGAATTGGAATAAAGGTTTGCACAATTATACCGAAAAATCGAAAATTTAAATTAAAAAAAAAAATAAAAATTAAGACTGTTCTGAGCAGCTTTTTAATAGTTCCTGAAAAGAAAAAAGGCTGCAAAATTACGCCGAATAGGTCTGATGTTAACGCTCCTGATCTGAAAATAAACAACGCGGATGGCAATGCTTGTAACAGAGGAAGAGGAAGACCTACTCTGCGATGTAAAGACCAGACGGAGGACTTGGGGTCAGTTGGCAAGGAAGGGAGACGGCTGGTGACGTGCTTTATTCAATTCGGCCAAAATAGTTTAGGCGTTTACAGCGCCAAAGAAGAAGAGGAAGACTGTTCAACTCACTAATTTAACGCTCAATCTCTCCACCTAACTTGCTTAATTGGTTAAATATATATTATTACATACATACATGCATACGTATGTATATACATAATCAATACACGATTGAGATAACACAAAGTGTGACGTCACACAAACGTTATTCTCAAAAATCCTCTCTGATCGGCGCAATCTTGTATTCTATCATTCTTGTAATCAATACATGATGCACTTATGTACTTCAAAACTTACTCAACTCCGCACAAACAAAGTCTCACATAGACTCAGTCATATCACTTTTTTCGGGATTCGTAAACGACAGATGATCGTAACAAGGTTGCGCATACGTCTCGGTGTCCGCCGCATCATCGCCAATTATCTCCTCATAGATTTTGTACGGCTGCTCGGCGGGCAATTCTTCATAGGTGATGTGATGTAATTTGCGGCATTTCTCGTTCGCATATGTCGGCGTACCGATATTGTTGCAGTTGCAAACAGAGCCAATGCCACTCAAAGGCGTCTCATAGTCTTCATTATTGTTGGTGTTGCCATTAAGAGCGTTTGGTGTGGGCGGCAATTGACGCACCACATCGAAGCGCTCGGCGCTTCTAAAACGCTGGCCAATGTTGCGCTGCGGCCATGAGAAGGAGCGGTAGTAGGACAAATGGAAGACTTTCTGACATTTTATCCACATGTAAAGTAAAAGGAAGAGTAAAGCCACGCCCACTGGCAACATAAATACGATTATCAAAGCTTCTGCGCGCTGACTGCGTTTATATTCCCACGGACCGCCATAGATAAGCTTGTAGGTAGAGGCATTGACCACGCCGCCACGCTGCTGCTCCTGAACTTGAACGCCATGTACAAAGGTTGCCATTGTCGCCGTCGTTGTTGTTGTTGTTGTTGCAGCGTTCGTATGCGACTCACTCTTCGTAGCATTGTCGGCTAAAGCGAGCATCTCTTCTGGCACGCATTTTAATCCATTCACATTAATTTGCGATATGTATTTTTCATATTGGAAAGCGCGAAACTTCTCCGGATGTGTGTGCGCAAATTCGAGCAACCACAAGCAATTCCACGGATTTCGATCGATTTTTATACGCACTTGCTCCCAACTCAATGATGATGCGGCAGCAGCATCATGTAGCGACGCCAGTTGATTGCCGCGCAAATCCAATGACGCCACAACCGGCATAGCCGACATTAGTTCCGGCAAAGAGAACCGCTTTAGCTGGTTGCCGCGCAATAATAAATGCCGCAGTTTTCTCAGACTACTCAGCCACGACGGCGGCAGTTGCGTCAGTTCATTTTCACTCAAATCAAGCGTTTCTACACCCGCAATGGAAGTGTTGCTAGCGCCATCAAGAAAATCCACACGAAAGTCTCGCAAAGCATTGCCACTCTAATTTACATATCGCACGCTTGTGGTTTGTGCCGATTCGAGCAGCGTGAAAGATTTCAAGGTGCAAACGGTGATTGATATATTACGCAGCAGCTGTGGATTACTCACCACCACGGCGTCATCGTCGAAGGTTGCGCGTGCGATGTGTATTTGGCGCAATGTCTCAGGCAGGTGGCCAAATAGATCGGAGGTGATATGCTTCAACTGGGCGAGCTGTAGCTCAGCAACGCCTGTGCGCTCAAACAAATCGCCGTCCTTGAGCGCCAACAACGGTTCGTGTACGATATGTATGCGCTCCACCGCACGCAGCGTATCAAATGCCGAACGCGCAATATGACGCAGTGAGTTGCCCGCAAAGTACAGTTCACGCAATTGCGGCAGATTCGCAAAATTATCAGTGCCAATGGTGGCCAATTCATTGTTGCGGTAACGCAGCAGCTCCAGCTGCATGTCGCTATTGTTCACGCCTGGACAATTGAAGGGCTGTAGCGTGTCCGCATGGAAACGCTCCATGTACACTTGCGGCACAGTGCCACAGTTGGGTAGGTATTCCATGCCGTACGTTTCGACCCCTAACGGTGTGTGGCAGCCATCGAGCAGCAAACTTTCCGCCAGCTCTAGGCGCCGCAGCAGCAATGCGGGCGCATGATTTTGCTCACCAGCCGGTGGTAAAGCAATTTTTGTTTGACAATCGATTTCCACTGTCAGCCCAGCGGAAAGCGGCGGCTCATCGGCGCGATGTAGTGTTGCATGTATAAGGCACTGCTGGCTGTCATTCCAACAGTTGTCAGCGTCAACTATGGCGACGGCTGGCGCTAGACGAAGTACAAGCCAAAATAAGTGGACAAGGCTCAGCAGTGCAAAAGGTGCGACAGGGCGGCACATTCGATAATATTGAATTTACACTAAATACTGCGAAACCGCTCATCCGCGCTGCGGCACGTCGAATGCAAATTCCAATATCTAACTGACTGAGTAACATATCGAGCGAGCAAATTCACAAAAATATACGCACTGAATTGTATTCCTTTGGCTGCCCACTGCTGTGGCTTGCTCGCTTTGCTGGCTAGCTGATTTTAATTTGAATTTTGAAACAAAACATTTAGCCAAATCACCTCATCACCCCAGCGTCCCAGACACCTTCAATGCCGTAGCCCACTACTTAATGAGCAATCGCGCGTCGTGCCGCTGCTTCTATAGCCCGTCATACAAATACATATTTCCAAGCATACAAACGAGTGCAAGCTTCTCCATGTAAGTGATTTTATAAACATCTTACTTGAAACATATGTACATTAGGGTGGCCCTTATTTCGAAGAGAGCTCGGATTCTCGGTCTCACTGCATAGAAATGTGTGAATAGCCTAAAGACTAAACTATACAAAATTTTAGATTTAGAGGTGGCTCAAAGTTTCTCATGTATGTATTTTATATGGCGAAAAAACAATTTTTCGCAGAAATGGTATAGAATCCTTGAAAACCAATATTTTTCCATCGGAAAACTCTGTTTCTCTTCAGGAGACTTCAAAAAAGACTACCCAATTGGTTATTTAAAATTTGTTTAATATTAACGATTTTTCATGGGTCCCCCATTGCATTTTTTAGGCGTGTTAGGGGAACCATAAAAAATTGTTAATGTTAATTAACATTTGGTTATTTTTTCTGGAAGTCTCCTGAAGAGAAAAAGAGTTTGGCGATTGAAAAATATTGATTTACAAGGATTCTATACCATTTCTAGGAAAAATTGTTTTTTCCCCATAAAAAATATGTACATGGGAAACTTTGAGCGCTTTGAACCATCTCTAAATCTTTTTTGATTGACCTAAAACTTTGTATAGTTTAGTCTTTAGGCTATTCACACATTTCTAGGTGGTGAGACCGAGAATCCAAACACTTTTATTTTGCGCCATCCTAATGTACATGCATAATAGGCATGCTGCGAATGTGGAATTTTAGACATCCGCGGTTGCGAATGTCAAGTATTTTTATTTTTACGTAAGTAAGTTATTTTATTTACCACTTGAATTAAAAAATAGGAGCTTTACATTTATTAACAAGTAAGTTTTAAGCAAAAAAACAAAACCGACTTCAATTCTCATATAAAAATTTAGGAGTACCGTTAATTTTTTCATGATCCAATGATCGGATCTAAACCCGATCAGTATGGGACCACCTCTGACGGTAACATACAAAACAAAATATATTCTGACGAATTGTTAACCTCCTCCTTCTTTTGAAGTAGGTTAAAAAGTAATGTTGCTGCCTTTTCAGTTTTCAGCCTGTTTCATAAAGGGTCGTAAAAAAACCTAAATAAACAAATTACCGCTCGCTCGGAATACTTGCTAGTGGAGGCGACAGAAATCTGCGTGCGAAACTTGACAATATATTAAATGCGTTTCGATTGACGCTCCACCAGTTGGGAAGACTTTCAGTTATATTTATTCTTTTCTCTTGAGGAATTTATCCTCACGGCAAGATCGCTCGACAAACACCGCTTACTAGCCGAACTAGATGTTTCAGGTTTATCTAAACCTTTTTTCCAAAGAATTACTCATTCTCATTCGGTCGCAGTGGCGATCCAGCGGGGGGGTTTTGGGTGTTAAACTACGTGTCAGTCAGTGGCGGACGTACGGGGTGTGTTTTAATATGGCGCATATGTATGTATAATATGGCGTTTATGTATTAAAACACCCCCGTGGGTCCGCCACTGACTGACACGTAGTTTAACCCCCAAAACCCCCCCCCGCTGGATCCGCCCCTGTTCGGTCGGCTCAGAATCTCGCAATTTTATTTAAAAGGCATCCAGTTTTTATAACCGTTTGAAGTAAATATTGGATTCATGGCTTATTTAAAAGGTTTTAATAGCTCAACACAAGATTCCATAATTTTCCAGCCCACTGGCAAAATGAGGTCCATGTCTCTGTCGTTAACATAAAGTCTCAACGCATC